TTGTTTGTTTGTTTGTTTGTTTGATTGTTTGATTGTTTGATTGTTTGTTAGTTTGTTAGTTTGTTTGTTTGATTGGTTGTTTGATTAGTTTTGTTTGTTTGTTTGTTTGTTCGTTCGTTTGTTTGTTTGTCTGTATGTTTGGTTGGTTGTTCGATTGGTTTGTTTGTTAGTTTGTTTGTTTATTACATAGTATTGATTCAATTGTATCGCCAACTTCAATAAACATATTCCAATTCGTTGATCAACTACAACCGTTTAACAATGAAACCTCGTTAGTTATTATATTAATATTGATACAATTGAATTATTCAAATGTCCTAATGAAATATATTATTGATCGTCAGCGATATAAATGAGGAACTTGCAACATAAATATCGTTCAATTTTCGTTACTCTAAAGAATGAAAAATAGAAAACGTGTCAGAAGGGCTTAAGTATATGGTTATTTCATTTTTATAACTTACAATATACGTTTCAATTACATTAAATTAACTTTTTACATAACTATCTAAAGAACAAAGACAAGTTTTTGTAAACATTACCCCAGTTTGCGAACTAAAATGTAGGTACAGCAATTATTATTTATCAGAGTACTATAATATAATGTAAAATTATTAAATAAAATACAGAACAATTTGCATAAAAATGTGATTATACATAGTTACCTGCAGAAGATCAGTCTGCATATAGCTTTTTACAGTTCATCCATTTCTCTTTCTAACGTTTAAATCGCCATGAACCTTGCTACTTTAGAAGCTTTTAATAGTAATGGATATTTATATAAATTATAATTTATATTTTTATATGGTAAGAAACGTTGTAACCTACCTTAAGGAACGCTGGCAACCTAATTCTCTGAAACACCGACTGAACATAATACACCGGGAAATCGGAGCACAAGTTTTCTCAGTACGTTTGCCAGAAAGCCCATGACCTGCTAGAAGTAATGGCATTCGTGACAAGGAGTCTGCGGCATTTCTATAAAGTATACAATGGAAATACGGGAGCAATATATTGTTCGTTACGCCAACCAATTTCTCGGATATCAATTTGTCAGACAGTGCAATTGTATAATTACAGCACAACATGTAAGTATAACCATATGAACATAACCTCAAACAGTCGAAGCATGTACTCACATGCTTGGTATTTACTAGAAACTACTATGATTGCAACACATGACGATAGGTTATCCTTAGTCTTAACAAACTATAATAACGTACGTCTTTATTTTTCTAATTAATACTGTCTCATTCATTCAACTTTCATATTTCTATTATGATCTAATTTTTTAAAGAAACTACTTTGATTCCATCACAGTTCTAATAAATATCTATCACACTTCTTTAACTTAATGTTAAGACTAGTGGCATGTGTTTTCAATAGAATATAAAGCTATTATGATTGTATACTAACTATATTTTCTTTGTCCAGCTGATCGACCAAAAATAACAGGTAGTTTAACAAATATACAATCAAGCGTAGGCACTGTTCAGTCACTAGCACCAGATGCTTTAGACATCAAAAAGACAGAAGAAGAAGCAAGAGAAGAAGCAGAACAAAAGGAGACTCGTGAACGGGCCGACAGATGGGTTAAACATAGTTTCAGATTTTTTGGTGTTGTCTTTACCATTGGGTTGTCATATATGATTTATGAACTGGCAAGAACAAAGTATGATGAGCAGGGGAATGCCATAGAAGATGAATACTCCAATTTACCAGTGTACCAAAGGGTATACAAAAGGTTTCGGAGGGAATATGCTTACTATACCAAGGTGCGTGAATTCTTTTGGATAGAAATAGATTTTTAGATGTAATCACATAAGTACTTGTATCCTTGATTTTGTAGATGATCCAAGAACCCAGCAGGGACAAACTTCTTCCAGATCCACTCAAATATCCCTACCTTCAACCCCCTTACACTTTGGTCCTGGAGTTAACAGATGTCCTTATACATCCTGATTGGACGGTATGTTAAATATCCATAAACAACAGAATGTCTTGGCTGAAGGTGGCCTTCAGAGTAAATATCCCCTTTGGTTTTGTCATTAAAAACAAAGAAGATATTTCGGTAGAGTCTCCTTCAGCTGTAGTTAAACCATTTACTTATTTTGCTTAATTGGTTGCAAGTATGAAACTGGCTGGAGGTTTAAAAAAAGACCCGGTGTGGACCAATTTTTAGAAGCTGTTGCTCCACCACAGTTTGAAATTGTAGTATACACAGCAGAACAGGGTCTGGTAAGCATAGATTGTCTGTTAAAACTTGAATTGCAGTTCATTTTTTTACTATTTCCAGACTGTTTTTCCTATATTGGATGCTTTGGATCCTAATGGATATATCATGTACAGACTGGTAAGAGATACAACCCGTTTTGTGGATGGGCATCATGTTAAAGATTTGGATGCTCTTAACCGTGATCTCAGTAAGGTAAGTATCAAGTAAATACTTAAAATCACATGAAAGTCAATATTGTAGATTGTTGGTTTCTTCTTGATTTTGGTTATTACGTGACACTAATAAAAATATACAGTTTCGTTAAAAAAAAAAACATTAATGACCTTGAAATCTCAAATATATTTGCATATGCAAATAACCGTTTTGTAAAATATAGTTTACTGAATGCTTCAACAGGTTATAGTTGTTGATTGGAATGCAAAGAGTACAAAATTCCATCCTGAAAATACTTTAAGGCTACCACAATGGACGGGTAACGATAATGATACGACGCTGTATGATTTAGCTGCATTCTTGAAAAGTGGGTTTGCTCTACGATTTTACATGAATACCAACATATAGTTATTTGCGTTACTTCAATCTCATTCGATGAATCTTTTTCAGCTATATTAGCGACAAATGTGCAAGACGTACGAGAAGTTCTCAATTATTACAGTCAGTTCGATAATCCATTAGAAGTTTTCAGAGAAAATCAGAGAAAGTTAATTGTAAGCAATCCACTTTCGCATTGAATGGGTTTTAAAACATATCAACTAATCGGAATGATTACAGATGCAGATGGAGGAAGAAGAAAGCAAAGCGCAGCAAGAAAACAGTAGAGTACTTACTTCAAAGTGGAAACCGTCTTTCCTTCGAAATCGTTAAGCCGCGATAGAAAAAATATTGTGTAAAATATGAGAAATTTGTAAACCATCATTAACATGTCTCTTCATCCTGCTAATGCACATTGCATGTAATTATTGTACAATTTTTGCTATAAATAAATAAACAAGTAATTCATATACCCAAATAGTTGGTTCATAATTTTATTGCACTTTCATAGAAAAATAATTATTCCAAGTAAATTTGTATGCATCACAACTTCGGCTTTTTACGAGCATGCCCCTTCTTAGGACGGGATTTCACTTTCGGTAGAAGCAACTCTTGCAACACATTACTATCTTCCAGAGCTGTTATATCTATTTCTTGTGAAACACTTATTAATTCTTGTGAATTAATTGGTATTGCGACATTTTCCATTTCCTCTTGAGAAAAAACTGGAGGCTTAGTGTCAGCAGATTCTAGCCAGCTTAAAACTTTTTGATGAGGTGCTGTTGTTAACGGCAATCGAACTTCTTCACATATTTCCCATACAGCCAGTAGTTCTGGTGCTAATATGTCCATATAACTATTTAATTCCTCAAGAGACTGTTTCCAACTCGAATTAAAATTATTCGACTCATAGTCGCTACATTTTAATCGCAATTTTTTATTTGTGAAACCTATAAACTTTAAACATTAGTATCCTCTAAATAATTTGTCATTTAAGATCATTTCATATACCTACAATCGTAGATGTACTGCATGTCCAATTTTTCAGAAATAGTTAAAGGTACAATTGTGCCTGCTTGGGAAGATGCTGCCTTTTCCCAAGCATCTAATATGCAATATGACCTACGATTAGTAGCTGAATATTTGTCTATCGGAATGTCATGTGTTATACACTGATAATATACGTCACCTACATAAAATATTACTATAAAATCAAAAATCAAAGCAACGTCTATTTCAAATGAATTAATGGTAAACATACCGATTGAATTTTGAAGAAAGAGGAATATATTGTCAGCTTCGTTTTGTATAAGTGCAGAACCAACATTGGACAATTCGAACCTATTTCTTAAATACGGGTTCAGACACATCCCTTGCAATTGAGATTCATCTAGAGTCTCCTTAATATGGGGAGGCGTAAATGGAAAATTAAAAGAATGTGAAATTTCATCGCTTGTCCAAGTGTTTATGACTATTATGCTTTCAGTAGGCACTTGACTAGATAGAACAACGAATTCTTTGTCTTCTCTGGAAGCGAACACGTATATAATTTTAGTTTTTATATAGTTGCGTATATTGTAATATAAAAAAAAAAGAAAACTAATTTTGAACTTGCCTATAATTTCAATTTAATCTTTAATACCTGTTTGTAACTTGGCCAATTAGCGGCGGATTCTTAAACTGATGAGTCCATTTTTGTTGTACACATTGTTTAGGTGAACGTTTGTCGCACATTAAAACACTGTGATAAGTCGCTATGTATCTACAAGAACTATGTCTACTTTCGATGTCTAATGTAATACTTTCGCATTTTTCCAGGAATGACTTTGGGCACAATGATAACGTCGGACAATCAAAGGAAATCTATAAATATTGAAATGGATAATCCCTATTTTCATTCCTGCATAAAATATGTAATTAAAGCAGTTCTAGACTTACTCTAGTATCAAGATAATGAAGGCAACATCTGTCTACAAATAGAATAATATTTGGATCCATTGTTTCAAATTTTACCCTTGCCCATAAATCATCTGCCACAGTAGTTTGCATTACAGTGTTGCTACATATATGTTTCCTAAAAGCATACGAATATTAGAACGGTCAAATATCGGCCCAGCTATAATTTTGAATACACGATACACTACTATTCAATAATTAGGATCATTATTAATATTTACATTTTTGTCACGTCCCAAAGAGTAACAGTTCTCTCTGAATTTACTGTGCAATATTGATTAGTATTATATGAACTTAAATCTGCACTAACTAATGGAATACTTGATGGTTGTCTATGAATTTCAGTGAGATTCCATTTCTCATTACATTCAGATAATATATAAAAATTACAGTGATCCTTGTATCTACCCAAAATTGTGCCTAAAACAGGTTACAGGTTTGAAGGTACAGGTACAGGTTTGAAATTGTTTCAATTACCTAATTACTCTTAATATCAGATAAACTTACATGAATTAGGATTAATACTGTGTTTTAATTCAAATAGTGAACCATTCAGCTCACATTTAGCTGCTTTTGGAAGCACTGGTTTCCAAAAGAATTCATCAACATTAACAACAGGTGTGGCAACTATAAATGTATTAAAATAAGTTTATAAGCCTTCCAAATAGGAGAAAAAGATTCTACCATTATGATAATACCTAACTCATCCTTAAAAGGAAACAGTAATATATTTCTGTTATGCATCTTTAATTGATTGATAGTTCCCCCAGTGAAATACCAATTGTAAGACTAAAAATAAAATTATAAGTCATCAATTCAATTCATTGTCATCAAATTTTTCCTATATCTTTAATTCAACATACACCTTCAAAATGTGGATCTGGATCCAGAGCCATAATTTCTGCTATATCAGCTACATATCTAGGTACTTTAGCAGTAAGAATTCTGTCTGTATGTTTCCATTTTATATCTTTTTTGTACGTTTGTCCTAATTCTATGGAAATGTATAATTATAAATCTATAGAATCAATATCAAATGTATATATTGACTGTTGCACACATACCTTTCTCGTGTCTAAGATAATAATGCTTTAGCCTTTGTATATCATCATTGATATGATTCTTAAGTGTAAGAAGTTCTAGCGCAGGGTCCTCTTTATTGATTACTATATAAACAAATAGGTATTAAAAACAGATGTAATGATAATAAATTAACATTATTTTATCTTGTTGGAATTAATTGCTTACCAGTTCTTGGTATTTTTGCAGGTGGTAATAAAGGTCGTGGTAAATCACAGTGGTAAGGATAATCGTGGTATTTTCCGACAGCATCCTCCAAATCAACATCATCCACAGAGAAATTATTATGTAAATTATATCCTGGTACCAGGTAATGTGGATAATTTTTCAAAATAGATGGTTTCAATCTATTTCTTAAGTTCGTCTCAGCACGTTTATATGCTTTCGACGATAAAATACCTAGGTCTTCCATTGTATTTGTTTATAAACTGTTAATATTAACCATTACAATACTGTTTCGATGTTTGCTGCACTGGTATCAGGATATTTACAACACATAATGCTATCAATTTTCTTGACACGTTCTTCCACATGCTGTTCTGGTAGCCTTCTGGATTAAAAGGAACTTTCAGAGGCGGCGCCACAGGTGGTAGCACATGGTAACGTGGCGGTAAATTTGAATTGAAATTTAAATTAATCGAGAGCAAAGGGAAATATTTTGACTTTAATTTCCTCATGAAAAATCTTTAGATTGAAGAAATAAATTTGTTATTAAATAAGAACATTGTTCTTATTTCTATACAATGATGTTATTGTTTTTTCGATTCTTGTGTAATATATAATAATTAGTGAGAATACTAGCTTTAGAATACTTTTGAAAAACTATTGTTAATTAATTTTTATTTCCACCTACAATCATCAGTTTAACCAGTGGGAAATTAATTCATAATTCCCTTTTCTTTAATGTAGTCAAAAAATATAGAACAGGGTCCGTCACAGATGTCCATTTTGTTAATATCACACAACACTAAGACTGCATAATAAATAAAAAGTAGGATGTATTCTATTTAATAAAAATTATATTAACTTTGACGTGATCTTGATCCGCGTTGACTGAAAATCAAACTAAACTACCATTTTTAAAAGTGCTTTTTTTCTTAGATAATTGATCGGTCTTGGACTTTTGAAGGACCCTGTATAATTCGGTACTAACGACCGTATATGCGATTGCGTCGTTCGTACGTTCTCCTAGGGAACTATAGCAAAAATGCACGCAACATGGACGTCCGATGCCGCAATTACGATGTCATACATCATTCAACAAATGTGCATCACCTAATTAAGTTCGGCTCCACACATCCGGTTTTCTACCGTGCGGCGACGGTGCGGTTACAAAATTCTGCGGTCCAAAATTCTGTACATTAAATTGAAAAATGTAAGTACATTTGTTTCAAAAGATGATTGCAATACCGAGCGTCTATGTTACGTACACTGTTTACCGCAGTTTCCTAGGTGAACGTACGGTCGACGCAAACGCATATACGGTCGCGCAGTACGCATTCATATATCGGTCGGTGCACACGTACGTTGCTTTTCTGCGAAATGACCGAGTCAAGCATTGAAGATTCTGCATTGGACATAGAACTTTTCATTGAAGAAGTGAAAAAATTCCCCGAAATATGGAATGTGGCAGCAGAAGAATATCACGATAGAACGAAGAAGAGAAGTGCCTGGCTTGAGATCTGTCGTGTTTTTTACGATAAATTTGACGAAAGACATGAGCGGGATAAAAATGAAATACGTAAGTAGCTTTATTATTTTATTGTTCATTAACAACGTATTAATTAACAGTGATTACTTAGACATTACACTTCGAAATAATTTCTTTCCCATGGCACACTGCTAATGTTGAAAATGAAAGAAAATTATAGAATAGTATACAGTCATGCTTCACCATAGTAAGCAATTCTGTTTCGCGATTGTATTTAGTAAGCATTTTTATCCCCACCATTTTAATGCGCATCCAGGTCCGCGCAGTTGCTTTAGAAAGAGAACGGGAGATGATCGAGAGAAACAGAATGAAACCAGAGAGCTCTATGTGTGAGTGTCCACACGGACGACAACCTAGGCCGTCTCACTTTACCGTGCTTGCGGTCTCACATTTCTCGCGCATCCGTACGTCTGGGCGCTCCATCTGAAACACGTGGCGCGATATTCGACTCGTACTTTTAGCCCCGTAGGATTTTCGACCACACAGTCCAGCGTGGAAACGACGATCATTTCTACAATTAATAAAATTTTAGAAAACCCGTAAGCTACATTTCAGCTAATGGTCTCTACTTTATGAATCTACAAAATTTGGTTAATTAAGCTATTTCAGTACTTTTTAACTAGGACGAACAGCAGTCAATATCCTACTGTACGAGACGGAGTTTCAGAAAAACGAATAATTTCGCAATTTTATACGATTTTTACTTTCAAAAATTTGAGAAATAAAGCTAAAAATTGCATTCATATCCTCTTAGAAAGACTACATATTTAATTTAGTAATTACCTACACAAAAATTCTCAAACTCAGAGTTTTAGAGAATTAGAGTTAAGAATTATTGAAGAGTGGAACAATTTACCGATAAAAAAGATTAAAATGCAGTATGAAACAAATCCAAAATCAAAATGAAATTTTGATCCGCAATCTATAATGAAATTAGGAATATGTATAAGGGTATGTTGTTTATGAATCTGGGTTACATAAAAAATTTTATTTTATTTGGGCATCGATATTCTCATTTCTGGAGTGATTACGGACGAACATTTCTACTTGCATGAATTTGAGGCCCTGAAAAGAGCCGTTATTATTAAATATCAATCTGTCATTATGTTTATTAAATATCAATCTGTAATTATGCTTATTAAATAAGCAATCTGTAATTCTGGAGTTTGAGGCGCACGATAGCCGAGGCACGGGGCTCGAAATGCGCCATATCGTTCTACGCAGAATGGGAGTGGTGGTGGGTTTTTGGCTAGGCGTGCAAGTATGGCGCAAAGTTCAAATTGCAGAATTACGGGCTGCAATCGAACCATAGAAGCAACAACAACCTCCTATGTTCCACAAGGAGGATAACGAATTACGTTAATAACTCTAATAATAACAACCTTATAATAACCAGCCTTATTCACTCCAGAAGTGATAATGTCGATGCAATAATAAAATATCATTTTCTATGTTACCCAACCCACAAACAATATTACCTTATATCCCTAGTTTCGTTCATAGTTTCGACAATTGCGAAATTATTCGTTGCTTACGAAACTCCTTTTCGTAGAGTATAATATTGATTGTTGGCCGTCTCAGTTAACAAGTATTGGGATGGCTGAATTAACAAAATTTTGTAGATTCATAATTGTAGAAATGGTCGTCGTTTCAAAACATTCGAATATTTCACGGTCGAGTATTTCAGGTGGAGCGCCAGGCGCGAAAAGTGTGAACCGCAATGCGAGACAAGCTACATACATTGGTCGTCGGTGCGACTTGTTTAGCTTCTGGTTGTGTTAAATTTTGTGCTCTCTTGCTCACTCACCACTTCGTCTCTTTGTCTAGAACTATGAGAGCAGCACTGTTTAGCTGTGAAGCGTCAACCAATCAAGGGAGAAGCAGTTTCTCTACCTGTTTCAAAATTCTAAGTCGGTTGCTCCTGCCTTGGTTTACTATGGTGAGGCACTATTGTAGATTGCTTTTTAAAAGTCCTTTTAACCTATAAAGTCAAATAAACATTATAGAATCTAGTATTACGGTCGTATTAATTAACTGTTCTAATGATATGTATTATAACGTTACATGTGGGGGCGACACACGTAAACTAATAAATTATCTATTATTATAAATTCTTAAAATTCTTGTTATTTCGTAGTGTTAAGCTAAACATTGAAAATATTGTAACTATAAAGAAATAGGAGTCACAATCAAGTTCTTCGATACTCAAATTTAAAAAAATTCAAAACGTGGAGTTAGTATTTCTATCTCAGAATATTTTTCAATTATGGAGAACACAACATGTCTTTATTAATTTTGTTGTTGAGTTTAATTTTTTTTTGTATTCGAGTCAATCTATAATTTAATTAAAAATCCTTTTGTCATCCGACGAAAGTTTTCCCCTTCGTCTGTATCAAACGTCAAAATACACTTGGACTGAATATTGAGTCTATCGTTTATCAACTTCTCATAAAAATCTGACTTCTGAAACATTGTACTGTTAAAATCCTTATCAAAAATTTATAAACCTATTTCAAATAATCTCGATTGCTGAATGACCAATTTTATATATTAATGTTAAACAAAGATCAGTCTGATTACGCACACTATGCAAGTATGTACCTTTTATATTTACGTAAATATATTTGGCTTCAGGTAATAGATTAAATAAGAAGTGGAGGAACGTCAGGGACAATTTTCTTAAAAGTGTTAAAAAGAGAACGAGATCTGGACATGCGGCTGAGAGAAGCAGACGGTATATTTATGCTCGTCAGTTGACATTTCTTCAACAAGCTGGCATCACTATAAAACAATCTAGTTTAGAAGATCAGGACGAACAGCAGTCTCAAGATGGAACTGAGACTAAAGCAAGGCTAGATCCACCACACAAACATAAAACTCGAAAATGGAAACATGATACCGAGTCAACAATAACTGAACTTACGAAAACTACAATACCATCTCAATCAGAATCTGATCAACCAGAGTATAATGCAGACAAATCATTTTTTGATAGCCTTATTCCATCATTGAGTGAATTTAGCGAAGATCAAAAATTGGAGTTCCGTATTGAAATCTTAAATATTATTAAAAAGATGAGACAACAGAACAGTGCCTCAAGTAATACAAATCCATATAGAAAAAGAAATGGATATGCGTAACAAGACTAAAAACTTCCACGATCTACGCCTATAATTTTGTTATCACATTGTGTTTCGAATAGTTATTAAGAATAATTAAAACTGTTCCTCTATTTCTCTAAATATTTAAACTATTATAAATAATTAATTTTCTAACCACGTAGAATTAGTTAATGTATTTTTGGAATAAAAACATCTGGAATAAAGTCTTGGCCAGTAGAACATTATTTCAATATGATTTTGATTTCAATTTTAATCAAATAATCCAAAAAATTTGTTGTTTCTAAATTCTAACAAGTTCACAAACATTAGTTCAGTATGATTTCTGATTATATAAATTATTTCTGATTATATAAATTTTCCAAGAGTATACCTGTTTTTCTTAATTGTGTCAATTGTTATTTGCAACTAAACAGTTTCTTTCTCAAGTATTCAAACAATACAAAGTTTCTGTTTCAGTTCGCACACCTTTTAAAACGCAATAACTATTTTTAAACTCTACTAAATGATGATAGAGGATGCATGTTGAAAATTTTATCGAAATCGGTTTGTGTTGTTATGAGGTACGACAAATTAAAGAGCGCAAAAATTCGCTATTTTGACCAAAAACTGTAAGAAATCTGTAATTTTTAAAATGCTTCAAACACCTGTAGCTGGACTCTGAGTTAACTGATTTCGATCAAACTTTCAGCACGCATATAAGTTATCGAGATCTACGAAAGGCATTTTGTAAGTTTTTGTTATAGGTTCAGATAAAAAAGTTAAAAACGATGGTTTTCAATCTTTTCTTTTCATTCTAAGCAACAGCAAAATTAAAAAAAAGCTTTTTAGTCATCGTCTAGTAGACTACGTCGTCTACTAGACTAGATACCGTCGATTTTGATTACAATTTCATATTCTGTATTTTGTATTCCTGGTTTAGAATTAATAACCTCAGTTTGGGCGTAAATGTAAAATTTGTTGCTTTTGTTCTTTCGCATTTTATCTCGTTCTATATATCATTCTATATCATATTATCTCCTTCGTCCCCTTTTATTTTAATACTTCTGTTGTGTCTAGTTCTTATTAGTAACTTTCAGCTCGACTATAGCATCGAATTATTATCGAATAAAGTTAACCCCTCCAGGGAGAACCAGTCAAAGACTCAGTATTATTATAAGCTAGTTTTAAGTTATTGAGTATTGTAAATCGTCATTGTGTAACATTCCAAATAATTGTCTCAGTTTTGACTGGCTGGTCTTGCATTACAACCGGCTGTGGTAGCAGGTTTCAGACTAAGTCAGCTTCGATATTCATAAAAAGGCTGCTGATTCATAAAGGGGGTGACGATTCATAGCGTGTTCATCCTGGGATATCTCCGTAGGTATTCGGCCTACTCTCTCGGGGGAGAGTGCAGGGAGAATTTTTTCCTGAAGAAATAGGATGATGCATAGGGTCGTTCTCTAACCACCCTTTTTCGCGGTGTAATAAGGGGCCAGCTCCAAAGACTTGCAAACATGGTACCTGTCGTGTCAGCTCTTTTGTCGAAAAAGAATCTCCTTTTCTATTTCGCAATTTTCTTCGTAATAATTGGTTGACATAACCCAGATCGCAGTTATGAAGATTGTAAAGCGTTCTTGTAACAAAAGAAACCACAAGGAATTCTGGCTTCGATCTGGTACAGACTAAAAATATTCTAATTGAAAATTTTTCTAATGTACATGTCTTCGAACATTTTGAATTTTATTCCACTGAACAACATCCTATCTTTTGTAAATCACAAAATCATTTATACGTTTAAAATCTGATAAAAAAAATCATGAACACGATCAACAGTAACTGTAGATACAATTACTGTACACGTATGGTTGTATACTTAGGATTTATTTCACTTATGTAAGATAGAATGTAACATCGAACATTTTTGGAAAATTGTTCGATTTTAAATAGTAGTTAGTAGATTGCAGATTTTTACGCATGCATATATTAAAACACACTAATAACATTTCTACTTTGTTTTTAATATAAGGAATATACTTTTCTCCTTATCCTGAACTTTATCAAATAATCTGTAAAAGTTAGGATTTGCATTAAAATTTGCAGTCTAGTAATTACAATAGTGCAAGGCCAAAACTTTAATAAAAGTCTCGAAAAATTTTTAACGAAGTTCAATCATTTATATATCATTTATATGTAATTATCATAAGAATTATTTGTATATAGTTTTGCTCCCAAAGTATGGTTTCCTCTAAAGCTTTTTCCATGATTAGAGGAAAGTAGACGCGTTAGCCTTTAATTTTTAGATTGATAAGTAACTCATGTGTCTATGGCGAGGTTATTTGCCATGGACGTTATTTGTTAACATTTGCCAACACATTCCATGCACATGTTATGCTGCGACACCGATTCTGTACGTATAAGATTACAGACGAGATTTCTCGCGATGTAATACCGCTTGTGCGGTGCCACGGATGCGAGTGTTATCCCGCGACGCAATATCGTTCGTGCGGTGCCGCAGACGAGTAAACACGAGCTTTTGTTTTTGCTCTGGAATTAAAGCGTGTTTACTCGTCTGTGGCACCGCACGAACGATGTTGCACCGCGGGATAATACACACGTCCGTGGCATCGTACGAACGGCATTGCGTCGCAGCATTACGTCGCGAGATATCTCGTCTGTGACGTACGAACAGTATCGGTGTCGCGACATAACACGCCAGCGAGAGCGCGAAGCGGTTAAATGTGTTTATACTTACGATTTGTTTCAATCGTCACAAGATACTGATCAAATATGACAGGAAAATAAAAACGCTCGTGTAATCATTCTATATGTATACATATATATTTCTCTTCTTAATATATACATATACATATGCATACATATTTTCGAATGTAATATTCCATCGGATATAATAATACATTTGGCCTGTGTAGAACAAACAGACAGATAATGCAACGTTCGCATAATTGTAAAGTATACTATAAATTAATGTATACAATATACATAGATTTCTCGTGTGCTTTTTGTGTTTTTCTGGTGGAAACTTTCGATTAAATAGTTATCTTTTTTTGCACGAAAAGGAAGGTACGACACGTTTTTTGTGCATTTTGTTTTCTCTTATACGAAACTCTTTTTTTCCTTTTTCTTCGTCTTCTTCTTTATCGTTTTGTGTTTTTTTGTTCTTCTCTTTTGTGACTAAGGTCTGTCTCACACGAGACGGTTACGGTAAGAATTCTTTTACTCTGTAAATTCGTGCACGAAGTAAACGATCTATGAAGGAGTTCAACAAGAGTCTTCCAAAATCAAACGTGAATTGAAAATGCTGTAGGCACTCGATCATCCTTCAGATGTACATAATTTCAACTTCGCGACGCCATGGAGGAGTATTAATGTATAAAAATTTCATAGCGATTTAGGAGGGAGGTGTTTAGTTCGGAAGAAAAACGTTTCCGAGAAGGTTTTTCCAACTACGGTGTGTCGAGCAAATGGTTCCTTACCATACACATCCAATGTGCCATATATACGGTTTCGCAGTTCTCGCGGACTTTCTCTCGAAATCTTGTAAAAATCCGCGGTCGTTCTGTATAACAACGATTTTCATACAAGTTCTGTTAATACCCAGTTCATGCAACATTTATCGCAGCGCCATCGTGATTCGTTATTCAATCGAAATTCCGATAATACAGTGTTGCTTTCTCAATTGCATCNCACGAGCTTTTGTTTTTGCTCTGGAATTAAAGCGTGTTTACTCGTCTGTGGCACCGCACGAACGATGTTGCACCGCGGGATAATACACACGTCCGTGGCATCGTACGAACGGCATTGCGTCGCAGCATTACGTCGCGAGATATCTCGTCTGTGACGTACGAACAGTATCGGTGTCGCGACATAACACGCCAGCGAGAGCGCGAAGCGGTTAAATGTGTTTATACTTACGATTTGTTTCAATCGTCACAAGATACTGATCAAATATGACAGGAAAATAAAAACGCTCGTGTAATCATTCTATATGTATACATATATATTTCTCTTCTTAATATATACATATACATATGCATACATATTTTCGAATGTAATATTCCATCGGATATAATAATACATTTGGCCTGTGTAGAACAAACAGACAGATAATGCAACGTTCGCATAATTGTAAAGTATACTATAAATTAATGTATACAATATACATAGATTTCTCGTGTGCTTTTTGTGTTTTTCTGGTGGAAACTTTCGATTAAATAGTTATCTTTTTTTGCACGAAAAGGAAGGTACGACACGTTTTTTGTGCATTTTGTTTTCTCTTATACGAAACTCTTTTTTTCCTTTTTCTTCGTCTTCTTCTTTATCGTTTTGTGTTTTTTTGTTCTTCTCTTTTGTGACTAAGGTCTGTCTCACACGAGACGGTTACGGTAAGAATTCTTTTACTCTGTAAATTCGTGCACGAAGTAAACGATCTATGAAGGAGTTCAACAAGAGTCTTCCAAAATCAAACGTGAATTGAAAATGCTGTAGGCACTCGATCATCCTTCAGATGTACATAATTTCAACTTCGCGACGCCATGGAGGAGTATTAATGTATAAAAATTTCATAGCGATTTAGGAGGGAGGTGTTTAGTTCGGAAGAAAAACGTTTCCGAGAAGGTTTTTCCAACTACGGTGTGTCGAGCAAATGGTTCCTTACCATACACATCCAATGTGCCATATATACGGTTTCGCAGTTCTCGCGGACTTTCTCTCGAAATCTTGTAAAAATCCGCGGTCGTTCTGTATAACAACGATTTTCATACAAGTTCTGTTAATACCCAGTTCATGCAACATTTATCGCAGCGCCATCGTGATTCGTTATTCAATCGAAATTCCGATAATACAGTGTTGCTTTCTCAATTGCATCTTAAAGGAACATTATCAAAAACAATTCATACAAAACATATTTCCTTTTCAAACAGCTCCACTGTTTCTTCTCTTTTAGATGAAATAAAATTATACAAAGCTTCGAGCTCTCTTTGCTTTTCTGCCTTTTATGGCTTTATTGGGTTCGCCAAAAAGTAATGTCGGAATTTTCGGCAATAAATGAATGTCTCGTATGCAACAGAAATACATTAGTTTCAATTTGATCGAAGATTCGATTGTCACCGATCTCGACAGTTCCACCAAAACCCAGAGCCCGATTCCATAAGAATACATAAAATACATGATCTTCAAATCAATAGAAGTATTTGAAAAATTTCAGCAAATACAATTAATTTTTATTAAATTACACACAAAATTCTCACTTCTTAGACTATACTTATAAGGATAGCCCTTTGTTTGAACAACGGCAGGAACAATCTCTTATGGAAAAATCCGGTATTATTTATTGGCTAACTCAATATCTACTATTTTCTTAATAGGTACAAATTACATCAACATTTTTATAACGCTTCAAAGTATTGCTATTTTAATTATACTTTACAGGAACATATGCGAAACATATTTGCTTTTTAACTGGCTTCAAAAAAATGTGGAAGTTTTCAATTCGTCACGTATACGTTTTTTTGGTGTGTATTGATGTTCGCGTTCAGGTAAAATCAAATCAAATAAAGTTTCGATTACTTTACTTCTGTGTCTTTTATGTTTCTGCCTATTGCATTCGCATCTTGACGGGCACAGTTAACATCCAATTACTGAAGTATTTCTCAATTCAACCGAACTGCGAAGGCGCTGTAGTTTTACCTAACTTTGTCGATCGTTTCTTACTTCTGGTTAAGAAGAGTCTGTTCACATTGTACACGATTCTAAATTCGTCGTTAATCGTCTACGGTCGATCTTTGATGTCTAGGAGCTTTGGCGAGCTTCATACAAACGCGATCATATTAAAAATATGAGAGATTTCCTCTAGATGCTTCGTCGACCATTTTCCCATTTGTCAATCGCTATGCTAACTATAAATGGTCTACATGTTTGACGATCGTGTATAATGCGACAGATACATATTCATTTTCCCTCTTATTATTGAACACGTACTTTCCCTCTGAGGTAAATGTTCTCGACGTTATCTGCTCGTTGATCGAGGATGAACAGCTTTCGTCTCACAGCGAATCTTATCGTGCGTTATAATAGCGTCCTTACACTTTTAATTGGAGAAGTAGGCCTGTCTGATTCATTGGTACTATAGTTAGTATAGTTTGGCGAAGATGTTCCAATATTTGTGACGATGCTATATATGTTTTGATTAACGCGTTAAATGAAAAATCATGAACGAAAATCATGCACAATACAGTAAAATAATTTAACAAACGACACTGAAACTAGAAAGTTAACATTTATCGTAGACGATGGTATTTTAACTGCTTCGCATTATAAACAGTCTAGCAACGTTCAGTTTCTTCAAATATATTACAATAAACGTGAGTTTCGGAAACTAGGCAAAAATTACGTACTTACACGTGTTAATAGAGAAAATGAACACAATGCATTCGAATTTCAAATAGTTACAATTAGACTGCGAATTTTATGCGTTTACGAGAGACATAAGCAGTTGAAATACAAAACTATAAAGATATTACAAGAATTCATCATTCTCAACTTACTGAAATTATTAAATGAAAAAAGAAATACATTGTCAATCTGTCTTGTATTTTGTGTAGCGAAGAAAATTTTTATTTTGCATAAAAGTAAGCAGTCTAGTTACAACATTCCCATTATTGAAGATACTTCTTCTAAATTAAGATCTATTAAGAAAGGGTTCCGATCTACATCAATTAGAGACACCTCAAACAATCGTTTAACAAACAGTATCGTAACGTATGTCCGTTGTGATCTGCAGTAACGCGTACGAAATGATACGCAAGGATAATTAGTTGTTCAATTTGCATTTTGCAGGTGTGAACACGTGATCCTATAAGTCCATTATGATCGTCTGCAGGCAGCGCTCGCAGTTTTCGTCTTCGAACGACAGCGATTCGATATCCTCGTCTCGACGAGCGAACTAATTAAGATTACCTCAGGGAGAAACAAAGGTAGATAGTATCTACTAGATACATACGTCGAGGAAGATACAGAAACAAAGGGGTTCTACATTGTAAGAACCGCCTAGGAAATTGACATTGCGCAAGGGGATACACCCTAACGATCGCATATTTTCTTTCTTAGTTACGAGTAAAAATCTATATTATCATCTCCTGACGGTCAAAGACGACGTGCATTCCTAACACCATTTTGATTATACACTATACAAATGTCGATCGAAATGTATCGCTTAATGATCCCTGCGAACGCGATGCGTTTATCACTTGGTGCTCGGAGATCTTGCAAAAATAATATTCCGGAAAATCTGACAGTTTTTATTACAAAACTTTGCTCTGAATTGTTGCAGTTCAACCAAAAGAGAAATTGACATTTCCTTAGGTGTGTACAGAGTGTTCAACGACAGATGATCTCGGTAAAAATGATCGATAATCAAACAATTTGCTCACAAGTTCGCGGCATTATTCACTCGCCGAAATCCACACGACAATATTTATTAAGAATAGCAATAATAAAAAGAAAGCAACAACACTTTATTATTTTCTTACTGGATTACAATAATTCATTTTAACTATATTGCACTTCACTCGTTTATTGCATACTGCTCGCATACATTTCTATTTACAGCACCCAATGGTATAGTATATACATTTGTTCTTTTTTTACTTCACGTTAGCATACTTATTCCTAAACTTAAGCTATTTCTTCTCTTTCTCCACTCTTCCTCTTCTACTTTTTATTTTCCATCCTTTCTCTTCCCTTCAACAGACCCTCTAAACATGATTGTTTACTCGAATGATGCAACAGCTATTCTCCACGCAGAACTATTTGTATCTTTAATATATTTATTCTCCCTTTTTTTTATATAACTCTCTCGTCTTTATTTCTTTCCTTTCTTCTCTGCTTTATATAACTCATCCTCTTCTTTACTACTGTATTTCTTCATTTATGTTACTTCTGTCGCTTCTCTTTTGCTTAACCTCATTCCCAATCCTTGTCACATTCTTCTTCTGCGGCAATGTCATGAAGTCCTTATCAGTTGATTATTATTTCATGTATTTTATTCTGTCTTTTGAGCGCTTTGATACATCTTTTGGTTCGATGCGAGAACTTAACACATCCAAATCAACGGTGAAAGAAACGGGTTCGAAAGAGACCGTCCCCCTATATCTCCAAGAATGATCGAAGCTCATTTTGTATACACAAAACAGTATGTATTTCGAATCCCGGCTTTCCATCATTCTTAATTGGTCGGTTTTCGACTAAAATTCGCTCCCAGCGAAACGATGATCGTTCGCCATAGAAAACAAGGTGTTCCTCATTAATAATCTTCCTCGCATGCCGTTGCATCCTGCCGCGCTTGTAACCGGCCTAATGGGTTCTATACTTTGTGAGAATACAGGTTATCGATTTCTTTGCCGGTTGCCGCGGCACTTTCCAATATCGCACCCTTGCAACGGAGGAGCGACTTTAAAACACCCCGTGACACACGAATTAACGTCGAGTGTGAGTATGGTCGTGGCAGATACATGCTACACTTGCGCCGCAGATTTTTCTGGGCGAAAATTCGCCAACTGGAAACCCTGGAATGTCTCGTAAACCGTAAAATGTAAAAAGTTAGTATGAAAGTAGCTTGGTATGGAGGGGAACATTCGCGCGGTGTGAACAACACTTTTTATCAACGTATCGTACTGTGTAGGAACTTTCGATCTGTCTAAAATGTGCAATGAGAAAGATTAGCTCCATGGCTCTTACGGGGGAGTGCAATTTGTGTGGTGTATTCGAACGGTTGAAATTACGTTTATGTGTGCAAGTGATTTAGATAGTATTTGAGAATGGTAAACTGAAAAACAGCAAGTAGTTCTTGAAAGGCTATTTGTGTGTACAGTTTTTATTAGAGAAACTTAGCAAAATTCTGTCAATCGTTACATCCCTGATTTCCAAGTGTACTTTGTTATCGTAAGGTAACAAAAGCCTGTAATTTCTGTAGTTTTTCTCTCGTTACAAACTAGATTCACATAGCTTACGTTTACGACTACAGCTAACGAAAACTTTGGTTAATTTTCTCTTACTTATCTTACACATTTGACAGCGGTCACGGTGCGAATGATCGACGTGAAATATAAACAACGTTCGAGGAAAAGTATCGTAATAATTACAGTAAATAATTATTGGCAGTTGTTTGAAACAATTTCACAGTATCCACACATTGCGATTATATTGTTTGGACATCACGGTCGGTATTACGGTAAAGGAAACAGCAAATTAAGTGTTAAATCGTCACCCTATATCTGTGATAAACATTTCTCGTTCGGTGAAAAATATTTGGAACGTGATGCAAGATCATGATGATCGATAGACGTTAGTTTACAAAGAAGTTCATCGATGAACATACAGTATTCTCTAAAAAATCTCTAACTTTCTGCCTTCGAAAATCTCGAATTTATATTATCCTCCTACCTACACTCTTTCGCTACCCTTGGATACAGTGTCGGAGATTTCAAAATGAAATCAATATAACATATTTCCAAGCATTTGGGTCGGCGAGAAAATATTCTCGTTCAGTTTCATGAAAATTATCAATACTGAAACGCGAACAGAACGCAGATATTAAAGAGAAATAATATTTTTTAGGATCATTTGACCAACCTAATATAACTCTATATTAACAGTGAATGCATTAATAACAGACGTGTATATAAATCAATGGTAAATTGTTTTATTTAAATGATATTCTAAAAATTTCATAAAACTAAGATCCATTTAACTTTGTACATAGTAGCCACTATACCAGTAAAATGATAACACCTGATAAGTTGAAATTCAGTATGTGTTTTTATGCATGTTCGAAATAACAGCTCAAATTTTTATAAGATATTTTATTAAATATTGTGGAAGTTATTAATAAGCGTGCAGCTAATGTCACAGAAGAACTTTCAATTGAGCGCTTTGATTAAGTCCGTTGTAATCATATAATAACGCACACAATATTCAATAAAACAGTTTATAAAAATGTTCGTCATTACCTAAAGCATGTACGAATACATGTGTAAAATTTTACCACACTAGGTTCTGCCGTTTATTTAAAATTAATTCGCAAATATTGCACTGAGGACACCGATTTAGAAACTGCGTCCTTAACCCACAGCAACCCATGTTTGTCAAACCTAAATAAAACAAGGATTAGAAAAATATACGATACGATTATAATCGATGAAACTGTAAAATCGCAATAAAATATTATCTTAAATCGTAACGATAAAATATAACAAGACTCGAACGATTCGAATAACAAACGCGTGACGTTAAAGTTACACCGTCTTATAGAGGATTATTAACAAAGTATACGTTGCAGCAACGACTTAAAATTATCCAAATAGTATCGCTGTTAGCATCGTTTTCACCAGGAAAATTTCAGTTTACTCGCGAGTGTACTACCTAGCGAAATATAATCGCGAACGATCGAAAGCAGCCGGATACGTCGATTCGCATCGCTTTCAGGAACTGACCGACGTGTCCATCGTCTCTTGGTATCCTATCGTAATGGGGTCAGGATCGCTATAAAAAAGTTCTCTTTTGATCTGAAATTGTTGCCCGTCCCCAAAATCGTCGACAGATCCGGACGGAATGATTAGAGATTTTTCTAAGGAATACTGTACTCGGATGGCCGCGCTATCAATCGTCTTTGACCGTCAACAGAGTTTCACGACTTGCCTCGTCATCGTCATTTCCCCTGCATGATTTCATGCAACCGAGACCCGCTCGAAGGGGAAATCATCTCAAATCTAACCACCGACGACGCGTCGTTCCGAACCTCTGTAAAAAAGAACGTTATTCGACGTGAATACATTATATAATTCGTCTGTCTCTTGATCTGTTATGTCGTTCCGTTTGCACAGAAACGAGGATACGTTTTCCATTTTCTTTTCCATGAATGAACGATCTCGCGCGATCGAACGATCGAGTCGTTCCCGTGGGATTGATTGCTTCCCAATCGAGAACGGAACCCCCGAACGGCTGGGCGATCAGGATTCGTCTCGATCGATCGTTAAAAGTTTGTGGTATTTGGTTCCTTATGACCGAGACGACTAGGATTTCGTGCTGTCGGTTTGTGCTTTGTCCTTCTGGGCCTTGTTGAAACCGTCAATCAGAGTCTCGATTATGAATTTGATTGTTAGTTTGTAGATGTTCTCCACGTTCTCTGAGTATCGATCCTCCAGCGTCCGCTCCACGGCTTCCAGGAACGGCTTCTCGATTTTCTGGAAATCAAGCTTGTGTAAATATGTGGCTTACGATTTCATGCTACGAAAGATTAGTAACAGAATTTTGCGGAATATGGGGAAAGTTAAGACTCTTGGAACTTTAGACTGGTGGTAAGGGCCACGAGAAGTATTGACCTTATCTATAATTGATGAGTTAACCTTTTGCATACGAATGACGACTCTAAGGCGCTATTAAAAATTGCTGTACCACGTTACGAGATGATTTTCACGCTATCAGATTTATATGTACTTAAAAAGCTGTTAAAAGTGCAAGCATTGTACGCTTCAATTTCACATTTATAATTAGACCGCGAATTTTATGCATTTCTGATGGAAATGAATAGATCAAATACAAATGAGTAAATACATCGAAGGAATTTAAAAATGCTATTGCATTATTTTCAACTGAATAAAATAATCGAAGAAAGTAAGAAATGTTTATGTAACTTCTGTATCTTGTAAGTAATGCAGACAGTTTTTATTTTGCATAAACATCGGCAGTCTATTTATAATGTGTAATATATTATGTAAAATAGAAATACTGGAAGTTAGGAAACATGTTTAGGATTTCGAATTAAGATAGTTTTGAGTGCAAAAGGGTTAATAATATTTTAGAAATCAGAGATTTACTACTGAGATCTCTTTCAGAAAAATTTTCAATAGCGACAGAGAATTGAAGCGAAAACCAGCAGGTTACTTTTTATAACATGATTTTTAGATTCTTTTAGGTACATTACTTAAAAGAAAATTACATAAGTTTCTTTTTGATGTAGCACAGCAATTAAAATTCAGGCAATAAGTTTCGAATATGTTAAACGAGATACGAGGAACATGTTGATATCTGCCCAGTTTAACATTTTTTCGTAGTTCATACAATTAATTATTTCAGTATGTAAAATTGAAAATGGTTTTTCAATTTAAACGGAAAAGAATTTTTTACATGAGAATATCCTACGCTCGCGTATCGATTTTACAATTTGAGATTACCGAGATACATATTCCGTTACTGAATTGTAGTTAATAAAATCTAAAAGTCAGTGTTTCTGGATCCTTTTCAATTTAGGAGTGTTTTATCGACGATGCAATGAATCCTTTAAGTATGTAGTTGTCACGACTAAATGAAAAGGAATTCTTTACAATGAAGGTGCTTTACTTTCAGCTATATTTTCAAAAGGAAATGTTAAATCAACTAGTAGCTGCAAAGGAAATATAAAAACCGATTCTTCAAAATTTTTTCTAATTTCGCAGCATTTCATAACACATGCAACGAATTATTTCAGCATGGAAAATTTGAAAATTCTCCTCCAATTTGAATGGAAAAGAATTTTTTACGTGGGTGTGTTGTATTTCTGACCGTACTTATCAGTGCGTTAATAAAAGTACGGTTTGCTTTCGTAATTTAATATAACTGCGGCACCAAAAAAAGTATTCAATTATCGAATCGGTTCAATTAACAAAATGAAAAGTGCAATACGATGAATTGTTTTACTACGTAAAATTGAATATTATTGTCAAAGATTAATAGAAAAAAGATTTTCGTCCCAAAATGTTTTATCTCTAAAAAAATTCCCTAAAATTTAGCGATTGTTATATTAACATTTTATCATCCTACAAATGTTTAAAAATTCGGTTTATTTGAATAGATTGTAATAAAAAGTAATTTTTGAAGTTTGCTCAAAGAATGGTATCAGTAATCAAACGTAAAAAAATAGCAATTTGAAACGGTTTCCTAGTTGCATAGTGAATTGTCACAATCTACAACAAGAAACAGGAATGTTTTATTTTCTGCACAAAATGGGAGGCGGAGAGAGAGCCAAAGAGAGAGAGAGAGAGAGAAAGAGAGAGAAAACGAGAGAGGGGGGGGCGGCGAGGGTTTCCGATCTCTCCCTTTGAAGTTTAAGAACAGTCCAGTTCCACTAACGGCAGAATGTGTTATTATTCCTTCGTCTGCGATCATCTACAGCGGGTCACAAAAGGGTTCTAAAGATGACATTTAAAAGGCGAAAATGCGAGTGACAAAAATGAACGGATCTTTTGTGCCGGCGCGGACAAAAAAGCGTTTACGTGGAAGTCAAGGAAGAGGGAGAATTTTATCCAGAACTTCTCTGAGCCGGAGTGCTTGGAGCTATGGTACTTTAGTTTGGTAACAAAGAGTAAATTGTTTCTTGAGCACCGATTGTGAGGCAACTTTCTAAAGGGCGATGTAATTCGCGTTTCTGAACACGGACAAGCGGCCAGAAAAATGGAACAGGATTAAATAATGTATTTGTTAATTGGTGACTGCTTACCCAAAAATACTGCGGATTGAAGCCAGGAATTTTCGTGTGCGTGGCTCCGACTTGCTGAAGACAGGTCAAGAAAGTGTCGATGTCGTCGAGCCCTTTGATTCCTTCGTCGAGGGCCGACATCACTTTCTCCGCGTGCTGCGCCAATTCCATGCTGTTAGTTTGCTGCTCTTTCGTCTTCAATTCGCGAAATTGCGTGAACATATTTAACAACTCCTCGTTCTCCTCGAACAACCTACAAATGGGCAAAATCGTTCAAAGTAAGTTTGCTTCTCTCTCAACCGTATCACTTTAGCCCCCATACGTTCCTCGCAGGTTGAGAATTCATCCGTTTTCTGTTTTTAGATACCGTGCATTGATTTCTTTCCATTTCTGTTATAAAATTCATTCGTTCAACTTGTGGAGAGTTACAAATAAACTATAATTTGTTGATTTAAACTGTAAAGTACGCGATTTGGTGAATTATTAAATTAAAATCTTTTGTGGAACTATTTTTTAGGAACGCATGGGAGTTTAGAAGATTGAAATCAGCTTTTCTCTAAACAGTTATTCAATCGAAATTCTTATGTTATTCATTATTTTAAAACGATATCTGTGTTCTTTAAATAAAATAATGCATCTTTTTCTTGCTATTCGCATTGTATGCTATTGGAATGATTTCAGCAGGTAATATGCTATTGCGATGAAAGCCTAATTTTTAAAAATAGTGCAATTACTTCGATATTGCTTACTTAATGGTTTAGGATTCCTTGAGTTCATGAAATCCATAGCAAATTTTTACATGTTTTTCGAACAAGCCTTAATAATATTCTCATTAAATAAGTATGTATTGAGAAATATTTTTGTAATTTTCACAGTAGCCTATTATCATATGTGCAATGATTCTTATTAATATACAATGGAAATCATTTCAATTGTAGACCTTGATGCATATGCAGGATGCATATACATATTAATGAAAATTAATAATACTTTTACTTTATATCTACCATAAGATACTTGCAAGACACAGAAGCTACATACAAGTCTACTTCTGTTCTTAATAATTTTTCCAAATTAAGAATGATACAATGGTATTTTTAAACTCTTCAAATGTTTGTACTGCTTTGCATTCGATGTATTTTATTTTGCTATACATGCACAAAAACCGCGGTCTACTAATAACTGTACCAATGATAATTTGCGTCGAATAAACGATTGTAAACGAAATGTGGTTAATACAGATTATTAAACACGTTGCATCAAATGGCGAAGAGTTGATGAATTAATTAAGTTCCGTGAAGGAAACTCAAGAGAAGATTACACTGGCTGAGGAGCTGATTGAGCTTCTTTCGAGAGTCGAGTGGGATAAGAGGACTCGACCATGTTTTGCGAAGCAATGATAAACGTTCCCTTCTTTAAAAACAGTAGTCTTAGCTCGAAATCTAATGTGAAGCATCTCATGAAAATCTCTCCGTGTCGACGATTTAAAACACTGAATGTTTTCTTATACAAGTTCTTGTTCGACTCTCAGCTACTTGAGGATGCAAACAACAAAACCTTGCAGAATTGCAAGGTGATTTCAGAAGGTGATTTCATGCCCCAAAATTATACAATAGTACAATAGTACCTTTCGTCGTGGCTAAGATATTTAATTATTAACATATATATTATTATTTAATTACTCGCATAAGATATTTCAAACACGTGGGATGGTATTGAATTTCTTAGTGCCATTACTTCAAATCAATCTCAATAAATAAACAGTTCTTATGAACTGTCAATCATACACTGAACACGGCAATATAAAGAATATTCTTATTTTTTTCGAACATTATAAAGAATTTTAAACAATTGAAAAATGCACAATATCTTCATATAAAAGAAATGAGAAATAGTTTCATTGTTTATATTGATTAAGACTCTGGGTTTATAAAATCGCATTTAGAAAAGCAATTAAAAAGAACAGCCATTTGCAATAGTTATATACTCATTTACAACAAACAAGAAATTGTTCCATTCTTTATATTCATTAAGGCTTCGTATTCATAAAATTGCATGTAGAAAAGAAACTAAAAAGAAGAATAGTCGTTTGCAATAATTATACATTCGTTTATAACAAACAAGAAATAGTTTGATTCTTTATATTGATTATGGCTGTGTGGTTATAAAATTGCATTTAACAAAAAGATTGAACAAAAAGAACACCCATATGTAATAACTACATATTCATTTATAACGTGTACAAAATGAAGTAGCTGAAAGTCGACTAATGATGTTTATTCGTTAGATTCACAGCATGTTCGCCCACTTCCTGCAGAGTTAGGAGAAAAATAAGAGATACTGGCGTGCAGTATTTGTCTCTATCAGTCTCGCTGGTCGCGTGCAACTACTTGGCAAAGTAGGTACCAAATTAGTTGGCCGGTCAAGGACTCTGAGAGGTAAATTCCATCATACTATCTCTCACCTTTGCGCTTTGCTTCTACTCGCCTCCGCTCGACCTTATTGTTTGCCTTAAAACGAGTAAAAAAAGAAACAGAATCATAAGGCTGAGGGTTCCTTTGTAGGAGACACTCTGTGGATCGGGACTCCTTCTCGCGTTCTGTTCCTGTGTTCACTTTGCTATCGTGGAAGATGAAAATGGGAAAATGTGTCATGGATACTGGAGGTACCGAGTGTTTCAAAAGGCAGTCTAATTCAATGGACGTCCAGAATCAGTTTGTGGCAGAGTAAGTGTCCAACGTGAGATAATGGATTCGTGCAAAAATAATACATTAATGAGCAATAAGATTTACTGGAAGAATTGTTTTCTAGTAAAACATTTAATTATTGTTATTCCCTTCTAACAATAGAAATAGATTTGAAAATATTATGGTACCTTCACAGTGTATCTCTTATGAGATTAAACAAATATCATTAATTTGAGTTCATTTATGTCTTTCAATATGTTCCACTTGTTAGAAATGTAACAGGACGATTAAATTTAAAATCTTCGAACCTATCCTTTTAATAAGAAATTTAATGCAATAACATAAAAAATTGTCACAATTCTTTCATATAAGCCACTTTTAAGCTTTAACTTAAAATAATAAAAAAAATCAAATAAAATTTAGTAAGATTAAATCAACGTAGCAAAAAATTGACTTACACCATTTTTGCTTTAAATGATGCATTTATAATTGCAATAAAGTAATATGATGAATGTACATAGATTGATCCTAATATCACTTTTTAAACGACTTCTTAGCAAAAGCAATTTTTCCGTTCGATTGTTCTATCTTTGGGACAAAGTTCTCGTAATTTCGGTGCTAAAACGGCATCGAGTGCGAGGGGTTGTGGAAGTATGATGATCGCAGCTATATTGCAGAAGGGGAAGTAATTTGTGACGTCACTCACAGTTGGGGAAGTGGCTCCAAGCGGCCAACTAATTAGGCGCCTACTTTAATGTGGCGAGGAAGAAGTGTGCCGGCCTTGTAGATATCTGCTCAATTATCTTTCGCTTGATTGCATTTAGTATTCAAAGATTATCTAGCGGAACAAAACGCTTGCTATACACGTCGTCGTACTCGCGTGTCCCTATTTGTAAACACACGGCTAAGTAAATCAATTATCGCATTCAATTAAGAACATCAATTTGTCGAAAGTTTCAGACACGCTCGATCGAGAAGTACGAAAATTGAAATGTTAATTTTAAACAGATTTTTCCGAGAGCAGATGCAATCTACTCTAACTCTAATCGGGATTTCAATCTTGCCGTAATTCGCCAGCAGTTCGTAGCGTGATCTCATTCCCCGTTTAGGCGTTATTTACTAACAGGCTTGAAATCGTATAATAGTTTTACGAGACGCTTGTTATTCAAGAATTTTTTCGGCACAGAAACAAGAATATCTTTCTTAATTTTCTTAATTTCGTAATTTTCCGAACGTACGAAGCTTAAAAAATCCTTCCTCGTACATTTTAAAGGGCTAAAATCGAAGTTTCAGATTTACGAGACCTTCGTCGCTAGCACATCGTGAACGTGGTTAGCGACTCGAGCAGTCGACCATGTAACGATTGATTTTGCGCTCCAAATCACGGATTTATCGTTTGTGATATCTAATAACGTCTTGAAAGGAAAAACTACCGTTCAGACAGTATTTGTTTCAGTTACGAGTCAAAGCTTTCTGCATATACAGAAACGTTTATGTTAACAGAACGTTAGTCCGATTATACGGGGTGTTCAGTTTGACCGAGTATAGCCGTAATACGAATAAGAAAATGTATGGACTGCTTCGAAAGAACCAAATTGACCTTGAAATATCCTTCACCATTATATGAATGAAAAATTATTAATACTAGTCAGAAGAAACACCCTGTAGATACCAGAAATATTTTTATTTTGTTGTCTGTATATTA